CTAGGTAACACATTTTCTCATTTCTGTTTAGAACCTGAATGAGTCAATGTATTTTTTAAGAACATAAGGGGGAGGTAGTTCTGATGTTTTAATGAAATCCTCTACTTCTTGTGACATCCAATAAACACTGACTAACATTCCATCTCAATGTTCTGAAAAGAGGAGAGGGGAGATTCTCTCAAGAAAATGAGCAGCAGGGTACCTACCATATTATACTCTCAACGCTAACTCCATCAGCCCTTCTCCCTTACTGCATCCAGCCCTTTGCTAACCTCAGTCCCAGGTGCCATAGCCTGCATCTGAAGTTTTGTCCATCCCATGAGTACTCTCAACCATTCACTTAAGCTCACTCTGACCCAGACAGTCCTATAATTCAGACACTACAGAATGTAAGGCACTCACAAAGCTCAAAGCTTTTTCCTTAAGTGCTTTAAAAGTTAAAATAGGAAATAAAGCAAAATTTTCCCACATAGCTCAAGCTCTATTATGAAAACATTTTTAAAAACTTTGATGATAACCTCTGAACTGCAATTTCTAAGGTAAAAAAGTAATGAAGTAATAATATACCGAGCAAATAAATGCAGAAAATTTCTTTAAGTTGTTTAAAGTAAAAAAAAAAAAAAAAAATCCCAGCAGCTTTCCCTCCCTTCCCTCTGCCATTGACCCCCCTCACTCCCACCAGATAGCCTCGATTCCTATGTAAAAATAGATTGTGCTGAGACAGTGTCCTCTGGAGCTGAAGGTCCCAGTGTAGAAAGCAAATGTGTCAAATTACTAACTGGAATAGAAAAAAAAGGAGTTTGCCTTTTATAATCTTAAATCCCTCTTCAACAAGACAGAAATTCTTGCAAGATAGCTTCAAAACACAGCAGCTTGTGAGGGAGCGGCATGGCTGCTAGCCATGAAGTTGGCATCTAATCCAGCCTGTGACCATTCTCCACCAGCCATCACCTCGAGCCTCCAGGATTTTAGAACTACCTCAAGGTGGATCCTCACCACCACAAGGCTCTTATATGCGGACTACTTCCTTCAGAATGGTTCAACTGGACATTTCTGGTTACTAACCCCCTTCTGAGTGGTATGGAAATGGATATAAAGTATGCATACAGACTCAGAAAGAGACCCCAGCTCTGTCTCCTCTGAATCACAGGGACTCTGGGAAATTTATTGCCCACAAGGGACAAAAGAGCAAAACAGATGGTGAAATTTCATGCTTTTTCTGGAGAGTTAAAAATATCATCAATCATGTACTTAGAAATTGGCAGTAACTGAATTTTTGTTATTCCGTAAGTTATACCAGACAGAAAGTTTTTTAAGCAAAAGAGCATGGATGTCTACCACCAAGTAGACACCGTTCATGATTTCTGGCTGCCCAGTACATTGGTAGCATCCAGAAAATTCCTTCTCAGCTTCTCTTGTACCTAGAACTAGTGACCTAAATTCTACCAGTCAGACACATCAAATAGGAGACCTCAATTTGGGAATGAGCAACTTGAGAAGGGAGTACCATATGGACCCCATTATGGTGACAGCAGAGGCCTCCAGCTTTGGGAGTGGCCACAATTGCAAGCCTGAAATTTTGTCCTGCAAGTGGCATTGACAGGGGGCAACAGCAGTGATCCTCAACTCTTCATTGGACCAGCTGTACTGCAGGGCTTTGGACATTGATCCTGGAAGCTTAGCTTGGATATGGTCTCTGTTTCTTTCAAGGATTCTGTAAGATGCCCAATATTGTTTTCATAAACTCCTTTTCTATTTTATAAACCAGAGGCAGCTTCTGTTGCTTGCAGTTAAGAATCTCAAGTAAGATAACACTTACAGCTTTTATTCATGTATATCGGAAGTGAAAAATATTTTGGATTATTCTATCTGGTCGAAGCCATGCATAAATTTACCTGACAGAAGATGTCTAAGTTGCCAAAATTGCCTCTGGAGGAGGCAGATTTTTGAACTCTCAGAGATCTTCCCTGGACCCCTGAGGGCACCCCCAGAAGCTATATAATGGAGTGACTGATTTACCTGAATCCAGAGCCCTCACAACCATTACACTGAGAGGAAGTAATTCTACTCACAGTATTTTGTGTGCCCCAAATCTTGGGAATTTGTGGGCTGAGGATATCATTTCTTTGGGGGGTTTGACCCCCCTTCTAACTGACTTTCTTTAAACCATCCCTGCACTACCCAAGGAATTTTGCATTAATAATTTTTGGTATTGTTCCTTCTTTTCTATAAGATTGAAAAGTCTGACTCCATGTGTGAAGAAGAAGGTGGAAGGAACAGATGCCTCACATCTGATGAGTTGCTTGGGGAAGACTGTGGTGGGCTGGATACTTCCATTTTCTCAGTAAAAGCTGTGAAATCTAACACATGTACAGGAAAGCATATAAAATTATATGACCTTTAAAGAATAATAATGAACACACATACTACCATTGCTAAAAATGAGAATAAAGAATGTTACCAATAATCCACCAGCTCTGAGACTGTTCTTGAGTACATTTCCCTTTATTCTCCTTTAAGAATAACCATTATCCTACCATTTGTGATATTCATTCTTTTGCTTTTCTTTGTTATCACCTATGTATGTATCCCTAAAAATACTAAGTTTTTCATGTTTTTAAATTTTATATCAATTTGCCATATGTATTCCTTTCTGCCTTTTCTTTTGCACAACATTATGGTAGTGAAATTTGTTCATATTGTTGCACGTGGTTGTAGTTCATTTTCACTGCTCAGGAGTATTCTGTTGTGTGAATATACTACTATTTACTTACCTGTTCTAGTGTTGATGAACATATGGATGGTTTCCAGTATTTGGCTATTGCAAGTAAATGCTGCCATGGATATTTTGAGTGCATCTCCTGATTTATACATGCAAGTGTCTTTGTACATATATGTCACGCTGTGGTCACACAAGGAATTGGGTCTTCATGCATCCTTGGAGCTCAGAAATCGAGGGAATCAATGGAAATGAATGAAAAATAATAGAAGGGTTTCTAGTGTCAGCGATGTTTGTCAATGTGAGCATCCATGTTTGAGAACATCTCAGGAGCTGTGGACCTGCTGGTCCTTCCAGAAATTCAAGTACTTCTCAGTGTAAATAAATTTGTGCTATAGAAGATTTTGGAGGCTTTGTTGTTTCCACCCTTCAGTATCCCTGCAAAGTTTGCTCTTAGATTGGAAGAAACAAGGATTCTTGGCAGTGTTTTCAAGATGGATTGGGTTTACAAGGATCCTGTTTGCCACCGTAACTGAAATATTCCTAGAACCCTGTAGACCTGCAGAAAGGGAAGACCTAGGAGAACAGGGCAGGGTTTTTAAACCTCAGCACTATGTTCACTTTAAGTGGGTCATTCTTTTTGCGTTTAGGGGTGGGGTTGCCTTGTGCATTGTAGGATGTTGAGCAACATCCTTGGCCTGTAATCTTGCCCCCAGCTGTGACATCAAAAAAAATCTCTCCAAATATTGCCAAATGTCTTCTGAGCAAAACTGCCTCTGGTCGAAAACCACTGGCATCGAGATGGATAATATTTTATTAAGTGAGATGATATCTTTAAGTGGAAAAAGCAGGTTACAAAGCAGAATATGCACCATAATCCTATTTTTACTTGAGAAAAATATATCTACATACAGGTACACATTAAGTGTTTGATTATGAGTGTTGTCTATTTTATTCTATATGTGTTTTGGTATGTTTTAAATTTTGACAACAGACATGCAGTTGTTACATTGAAAGGAAAACATAGATATTTAAAATCTTAATATATGCATAGAAAAAATCTTGAAAGGATACACAACAAAATGGTAAGGGTAGTTACTTCTTAGTTTTAAGATTTTTCTTTTTTTTCCTGTTTTTGTTTGCATTTTCTAAATTTCTTACAGTGAACACATACTAATTTTGTAATCAGAAACAAAGTAAACAGAAATTATTTCAAACATAAATTCCCAGATTTCAACTAACCATTAGGTGCCTGCAGATAATTAGACCCATTAAAATGCATGCTTCTAAATTCAGTTGTTCAGTCCATCTTAACTCTTAGACAATGGTTTAATAACCTTTCCTAGTTGAAAACCACTAAGTTTCACAAATGTTCTCCACTCACCTCATCATACTTCCATTCCAGCTGAAGATTCACTTCTTATTTTAATGTGGAAATGGATACAATCTAGTGTTGGCTTCCTCAATATTTCTCTCCTCCAAATTTCTCTGCATGTTAACTTTCTTCTATCTTAAACTCTGTCTTTTAACTACACTTTGGAATATCCATCAAATATTACCAGGTTAGTTTGCCTTACTTCTAAAAGATCAGGACTTCTATATTTCTTAAAGGAACACAAAATCATCTTTAATTTCATTGCTTTGAATCATTCTAAGATTTGATCACTTCCCTGTGTTTATACTGTTGCTATTATATATGCTGCCTTCAGCTCAGACTATAATATCCAGGCACAAAAGCAAAAATTAATTTCACCATTTTATATATGATAGACTGAAACCCAGAAAGGTGAAATGACTTGCCAATGTCAACTGGCTAAATGATCTGAAAAATCATAATAAAAACCCAGATCCTCTGAATTAAATGTCCTTTCCACCATGCCGCTTATCAGTTATCATGCCAAGTTTAAATCAGATGATTCACCAAATTATCATAACTGAAGCCGTACTTCACTAAAAATACTCTGCACTTGGTATAGTGCTACGAGGAAATGCAGTCTGTGAAAAAATTACCCACTACCAGGATTTCCTCCAGCTATTCGCAAAGCTATTTAATAATCCTATTGGTCTAAAAGGTTTAATTATGAGGGTTGAGTCTCTGAAGATTATGAATAAATGAAAATTGAATATATGAAGTTATTTATATAGTCAAAGTATATGGAAAAGAAATAGATACTCACTTTTAGAAACTATCAAAAGTAGAGATAAATAGCTGCCACGTGCCAAGACAAAACCTATGAATGGACAGTTGACAGTAATAATATGGTCACCCCCTCCCGTGACAGCAAACTCCCCTGACAGGTGAGGCCAAGCTGCTAGGATATTCTGCAGGTAGGCCAGGGTGTTTGAGTCTGTCTCCCTCCCTTGCTCCCTGAGTGTTGCTTTCTGTTTTCTGATTGAAATCAGAGATCATGAGCAAGGAGAAGAATTATGAAACCACTCCTTAGAGTCAGAGTGTTTTAAATTTCCATTCCACCTTGTCTAGCTTAAAGTCTACTAAACCAAGGGACAAATGAGCCCACTTAGCCAATTGGAATTTAAAAAAAAAGCAGAAGAGAACTTTTAAGGATAAAACTTAAGATCATATTACTCATCAGTCAAACATACTGAACTATCCTGAGACTCAGGACTTCCAGTGCTAAAATGAGGATAGTAGGGGCAAACCAGGATGGTGGATCACCCTAACATCTGTATGTCATCATAGAAGATGGTATAAATTTTCAAATGGCTGGTGAAGGTAGTCAGAATAAAGTCACTTTGCTGTTACCAAACCTAAATATGATTTTGTTGGATTCAGATTTCCATATTGAACCTTAAAGGATCAATGTTGGGTGGTCCTTAATTCTAACTCAATCTATAGCACCCCAAAATAAAATAAAGACTCCCTTTAAAATTGAAGTCCCTTAGAAAAAATGATATAAATTTGGCATAAGCTCAGAATCAAATAAAATCAAAGGAATATTTAAATGCAGGAGGAAAATCTTTTTTAAAAAGGTCTACTTTGTGGAAAACTAAAGGTCACTCAGTATTTGGACTTTTGTTTTACAGATGAGGAAATCGAGGCCTCTAGAGGTGGTCATGCAGGGTCATCCCATTTTGTGAATAAAGTCAGATTCACACTTGAGGTCTGTGCAGAGCACGTGACTGCCAATCCAGATGATTCTCTTCTACAGCTTCTCTTCCTCTCTTCCAAGGCTAAAAGTATTGATTAAATCAGGGTGTGTTAGAAAGGGTATCTTCCCTCAATTTAATGCTAAATGTGTTGAAGGCTTGGGGGAGCTGTAAATAATCCTTTGTTGTCAACACATCTCTGTTTTTGATTTATATGTCCTGCGATTTTGAGGGGTGGATGGGAACAGTCCTGTGAAGCTCATTGTGTTATAGTCAGTGGAACGGCTGAATCCCCCTCCCCGAAAGAGAACCTATCGGCCCTGATTAGCCACAGCAGTGATAATAAAGAGTTGACAATATTGAGTAGATACCATATTTCACTGGTTTTTAAATTTCAGTGCCTTAGAATCACCTTGCTTATTGAAACCAGACTGTTCAGCTCTCCCCTCAAAGTTTCTGACTCTCTGGCTTTGCAGCTTCCCTGAAATTTTGCGTTTTTAAACAAATGCCCAGGTGAGGCTGCTGGTGGTGGTCTGGGGTCATGCTTTGAAAACAACTGCTGTCTCCCAGTGCCTTACACACACACACACACACACACACACGGCAGAATTTTCATGTTAGGGGAGGGGTCGCATCAGAAATCCATTAAAAAATATAGCAATACTTAATATGAAAAACTGCTAAGATTTATAAATTCAAGAAGGAATTTTTCCACATCTTCCCCCTCTATCAAATCTCAGCTTTGTGGAAAGAACAGATTTTAGAAATCACCTTATTGAAATATTTCTACTGTAGTAGGAAGAGAACTATAGGAGAGCTCTTTTAATGACTTATTTACAAATTGTGTTTTTATAGCCTTGGAGTGTAATATACCTTTAGAAAAAGCTTACTAAGCTTACTTGTGAATCATTTACAACAACATTTAAAGCTTTTAACCCATCATTAATTTTCACAATGGTTGTTGCTTTATGACTCAAGTAATTAACTCAACAATGTTTCACAAGCATTTTAAACAACTAGTTATATCAAGGGCTCAATGTGTGTAATAAAGTAAATCAACAGGTTTATTGGCACTGGGAATATTTTTACTGTGTCCTTGGGTGTCAGGAGCTTAAGAAGAGCTGGGTTAGTCAAATCAGACTTGTAGCTGCTTTGAGACTCTCAGCTTTCAAAATCTAGTTATCAAGTTATTTACTGTTCAAAAAGTGACTTCCTTTTTTTTTTTTTTGTGGGGAGGGATAGTGGAAGAGAGAGAATCTTAAGTGGGTTACACACCCAGGACAGAGTCCATTGTGGGGCTCTATCTAGTGACCCTGAGATCATGACCTGAGCCGAAATCGAGAGTCGGACATTTAACTGACTGAGCCACCCAGCCCCCCCGACTTCCATTCCTAATGAAAAAACATATTTCTGATCTTACATTTCTTTAAAGAGAAACATATATGCTTTCCTTTAAATTCTCTCAATTTGCAGCTTATCTCAACACCACCTTCTCCTCAAAACTAAATCCCCCATATTGCTTTTTTCACTAAGCTACTCCTATGCATCCTATAGAGCTTAGTTGAAGGGACACTTCCTCAGTGAAGCCTTCAGTAATTCTGCTATTATACTTGCCTCTAGCACCATGAGCTCATTCTTTCAGGCAAGTTTTACAATAAAATAGAAATATAATTATTTGTTTAAGGTCAGTTTAGCTTTCAAAATGGAAGCTTCATGAAAGAAGGATTCATGTATATTTCCCCTCTAGTGCCCAGTGCATTGCTTACCTACTAGAAGGTATGTGTGTAAGCCATCCTCCAAGATGGCCCCCACCAATCCCTGCCTCCTGGTGTCCACATCCTTGTTAGTCCTCTCCTACATGTAGCAGAGTTGATTTGTGTGACCTGTAGAATACAGCAGAAGTGATGGTATATCACTTCTGAGATTAGGTTATAAAGTACTGTGACTACTACCTTGGAGTGCTCTCTTGTTCTTTCTTTCCTTTCTGTGGAAAGCCAGCTGCCATATTGTGAGAAGTCCCATGGAGAGTCTCATGTGGCAAAGAACTGCCACAACTGTGTGAGTGAGTTGAAGAGTTGAGTTCTCTAGCTTAAGCTGAGTTTTGAGAAGACTGCTGACCAGGCTGGCAGCTTGATTGCAACTTCCTGAGAGACTGAGTCAGAACTAGTCAGCTAAGGTGTTCCTGTATCCTGATCCTCAGAAACTGTGTGTGATAATAAATACTCATTGATTTAAGCTGCTAATTTGGGGAGCAATTTATTGTGTAGCAATAGATACCTAATACAATACTGAGTAATTATGCAAAAACTAAATGAATAGAAGATCTAGAGTTACTATGATTCATGTAACAACAATCCATTACAAATAATTTATCTCAACTTTTCTGACATTATCTTGCTTCTATCAGAATGAAGTCTGATACAGATCTAAAACTGAAGGTTAGGAGTTGTAACGATTAAAGCAAATTATTTTTTTATTGTTACAGATTTAACCAATTTAAACAGTTGATTCAGTACAGAATTTCTGGTTAGCCCTTTAAAAATTATCAGATACAATAACTTAGCAAGGCCACCACTAGCCCAAGCATACCAAAAAAGTTGGTACATTATTTACTAATAATAACTAAAACAAACAATGTGATGAGGTATGAATTACACAGATCAAATAATTAAACACAAGCTTATTCTAGTCATAATAATTAGGTGTTCAACGTCTTAGAATTTAACAACTTGTTAAAAAATAGCTACATATCTTGCTTTCATGGAAATAAAATTCCTTATGATAGGTTCAGAGTTTACTTGCTCTGATATCTAAAGTGACAGTCACTAGATTTAATAGCTTTCTTGTGAAGTTATGGTAGAACTTGTATAATTTTGAATACATTTTAATTTGAGAAGCTACATGTACTGAGTAAGTTAAATATATCCTGACAGCTGCTAAGTATTCACAGTGTCAGGTAAATTTTTGCTCTAAATACAGTGTAGGACTTCAACAGACATCGTATTAGCTTTTAGAAAAACAAGGGTTGTTTATCATATATTCGATATGTCATAAATATGCATTCTTTAGTAGGTTTATCAATTTAAATTGTACATTTTTACATAGTTGCAATTGTTCACATTCACTGATTCTTCAAATTTCTCACGTCATCTGGAACATGAAAAAGGTCATGACATTCTTTCAGTTTCTTAAACTTTTCTTTTAAAGGTGGCTGGGTTGGGGGGGGCCTGGGTGGCTCAGTCGGTTAAGTGTCTGACTTCCTTGGGGCTCCCTGCTTAGCGAGGAGTCTGCTTCTCACTTTCCCTCCGCCCTTCCCCCCTCTCGTGCTCACTCTCTCTCTCGTTCTATCTGTCTGTTAAACAAATAAAATCTTTACTTAAAAAAGCTGATACTATTGTATTTTATGTAGGTTGAAAATCCGTTCTGCCTGAGAATCAAGTTTTCTTTCTCCTTTTTTCTCCCTTGTATTTTCTACATTGGAGAAGTTGTTGTAGATGTCAGCTGGTGACAATTTGTTTAGCATATGCTGTAGGTTGGAGTCCCTAGAAAGCAGAGTCTGAGAGACAGACTCACATACAAAATTGGTATTGCACTCTTGAGATTAATGCCTTTGGAAGAATGGAAGGGAAACCAGGAAAGGAAAGGGAAGGAAGCAGAATTGGGCAACGAGGCCTCAGCTGACCACACACCAGGATCTGGAGCTGGGATTGTTCCTCATATTTGGAGTTGGTGTAAGAGCCTGGCTGTTATATCCCCATGTTGATCAGAGGTTGGAGTTTTGGCTGCCCCAGGAAGGAGGTATATGCCCTCAGATGAGGTGGGTCTCTTCAGCAAAAGCAATTCAGGGAGAGGACAGACAGCACCCCCACCCCTAGCAGATGGGGGACTCTTGGCAGCATAACCTAGAATCTACTACCTCATCAATATTATATTTTTATGAAGATAGCTTTATTTTTCCTTGAATAATTTTTATATTCTTTGATATAGTCAAGAGGATTAGGTACACTGAGTTCTTATTCTTGTACCATTTTGTATATAATATTTTGTGATTGTGCCAAATTAGTCCTGACCAATGAATTTACAGAGGAATATAGGAGTGTTTTCTAAAGTACTCATCCTGGTAGTCTATACTGCTCACGGCTCTCTGTCTCTGGTTGGAATTTTAGTGATAGGACAGCATCATCTCTACTTTCCCATTGTGCATTTGGTAACAGTTTCAAATTTATGTTTGGTAAATATGTTTTAAATCAATATTTTCATTCAGGAGACTTCACTCCATGACCATATAGTTCAGCAATCTCACTTCTAGGAGTATTTCTAAAAGAATTGAAAGCAAGATCTTAAAGAGATATTTGTACATTCATGTTCATAGAAGCATTATTCACAATAGCCAAAAGGTAAAAGTGGCTCAAATGTCCATTCTGGATAAATAGATAAATAAAATGTGGTATATACATACAGTGAATATTATTTAGCTTTAGGAAGGAGATTCTTTTTTTTTTTTTTTTAATTTTTTTATTCTTATGTTAATCCCCTTACATTACAACATTAGTTTTAGATGAAGTGTTCCATGATTCATTGTTTGTGCACAACACCCAGTGCTCCATGCAGAATGTGCCCTCCTAAATACCCACCACCAGGCTAACCCATCCTCCCACCCCCCTCCCCTCTAGAACCTAGGAAGGAGATTCTGATACATGCTACAATGTGGATGAACCTTGAGAACATTATGCTAACTGAAGTTAGCTAGTCATTAAAAGACAAATATTGTATGATTCCACTTATATGATGGACCTAACACAGTTGAATTCACAGAGACAGAAAATAGAATGGTGGTTGTCAGGGCTGGTGGAAGTGGGGAGTTATTGTTTAATGTGTATAGAGTTTCAGTTTTGCAAGATGATAAGAATTCTGGAGATGGATGGTGGTGATGAATATATGAACACACTTAATACCATTGAACTATACACCTAAAAATTATTAAGATGGTAAATTTTATGTTATGTGCATAATAAAAAATAACTTAATCAGGCTTAACACTAACACACCTATATGATTTTTACCTTTCTTGTTCTATAGCTTTA